ATATATATATATATATATATATATATATATCTGTTTTTATCCCCTGAAGGTATACAGAATTAAATTATAATGTAGATGCTTCTAATTCTTTAGTAATTGAATAAAATTTGAACAGTTAGTAGTGAATATTCTATGCTTAGGTATTCTACAGTCTTTTGTACAGTAAGTACAGAAGCTCTATTAGGCAGTGTCATGGCAACTCAGTTTAGCATTTGGTTACACTAATGTGGCTGCTTAGTAGGCTGCTCTGATTTGTCCTTCCAGTCCTGGGTATTGATAGCTCTTATTAAATAAAGATAAGAGTTAAGTTTCTTTATTTCTTTTTTGTTTCATTCAAATGTTCCTCTTCTAAATTTATTTTCACATTTATTACAGAAGAAAAGCAATGGGGCACCAAATGGATTTTATGCAGAAATTGATTGGGAAAGATACGTGAGTATCAGAAAATGTTTTTTTCTTTACTAAGTATTTCAGAACTTGAAAATGAGTTGAGGCATTCTTGTATTTAAAATATGACATAGAAATAAGTGAAACATGCCATCTCATCAGAAAGTGCCTGGCACGACTAACATGGTAGACAGGCTAAGAGCAGTAAAGGCTGTTAGATATGGGTTCAAGACCTAGCCTCTCCACAAGTCATCTGTATGTGGTTTTGGGATAGTAATTTGCTGTCCAGCAAATATTAAGTCAATAGCTACTTTACAGGATTATTGCAAGGATTCAGTAAACTAATTATTTGCTCAAAATAGTTTTGTAAGGGAAGATATGAGATATTAAGAAAGGGTGACTTTTAAAAATTATTTTTACCTAGAAAGACTCTTGTTATATTTTCTAAGATTATTAAATATGCATGAATGTGATACTCTAAATAAACAAGTATGATAATTAAAATACCAAATTACTCATCAAGCACTACCCCCTCACATCTAACACACAAATCCTAAACTCCAGTGCTGTCCCTGGTCAACATGCAAGTGCTTAATTGAAGCATAATTTTCCTCAAATGTTGTTAGTCCTAAAAACTAATAAGGCCACACAGGAATTGCTATTATAATTATACATTAGATACAACTTTCTCTAAGTAATGAGAAGGGTTTTATTCTTAATACATTCTATCATCTTGCTTTTGGCAAGGAGAGGGTAAGAGCAGAGACAGCCTTAGGGAGGATTTGACCTTTAATAAAGGGAAGCCCTAAAGCAGGGGTGGGGAACATCCAGCTGGCGGGCCCTCTAAGTCCCACCCAATAATTTAGTCTGGCCCTGCCAAGGCATTAGGGGTGAATTCATTAAATGTTTGACCAAATATAGCAGGCAAATTTTTAAGTTGATAATTTTGTATGGCCCTCAAATGATGTTATAAATATCCAAATGGCCCTTGGCAGAAAAAAAGGTCCCTACTCCTACACTAAAGTATAAATTGAGATTAACTGGATGAACATTTGAGGAAAGATAATTCCAGGCAATCTGGCCAGCATGGCTCAGTGGTTGAGCATGGACCTATGAACCAGGAGGTCACGTTCAATTCCTAGTCAGGGCACATGCCCGGGTTTTGGGCTCGATCCCCAGTGTGGGGCATGCAGGAGGCAGCCGATCAATGATTCTCTCTCATCATTGATGTTTCTATCTCTCTCTCCCTTCCTTTCTGAAATCAATAAAAATATATATTTTTTTAAAAAAAGATAATTTCAGGCAGAGAGAATGGCATTTATAAGGACCCTGAAATGGGGAAAAAAAAAAAAACTTGCAGCATTCATATCACAAGTTAACAATGGGTCATAGTACTTACCATATAATGGGAAGAAGGCCTTGTGGCTGAGGGGGATCAGAAAAGAGAATCTCAAACCTGAGGCTAGAGAGAGGATCCCGAGCCAGGTCATGCAGGAGCTTGTGGGCTACACAGAGGCACTTCACTTTATATTTTAAAAAAAAAAGTTTTTATTGATATTAGAGAGGAAGGGAAAGGGAGAGAGATAGAAACATCAATGATGAGATTGAAACATAAACATTGAGCGGCTGCCTCCTACAAGTCCCCTACTGGGGATCGAGCCCCCAACTTGGGCATGTGCCTGACTGGGAATTGAACTGGTGACTTCTTGGTGCATGGGTCGATGCTCAACCACTGAGTCACCCCAGCTGGGCATGGGCTTTTATTCTGAGTGCAGTGAGAAGCCACAGATACATTTTTAGCAGGTAAGTGATCTTAATATACTTTTATTTAAAAAAAGAAAAAAAGAAAGTAAGCTAAGTAATGAAGAAGGACAGAATGCATTCAGGCCATCTTCTCTCCCCCTGGTCATGGCACTTTCATTGTTTCAGTGACTCCAAAATCTCTCTCCAGCTCTGTTCTCTCTGACTTGCAGGCCTATTACCTCAACTTCAAAAGGGTCATTATTGAACTCTTCTTCACCTTCTTCCCCTCTACAGTGTAGGCTATAGTCTCAAACACCTGGGGTCAAGGAGTGGTTCTGCCATTTGCTGTGTGAGTTCCTTGAGAAATGGCATCTAATTTCTCTTAGTTTCCTTCTTGGTAAATAGAATAATTCCACATATGATTGTTATGAAGGTTCAATGAAATAAAGTGTAGGTCATAGTACTTACCTTATAATAGGAAGTAAAATATAATAACTAATTCTAATCATGCAAACTGTCTTTTCTCTTTCCTGTCTTTTTCCAAAAATATTAGTTGTCTGCTGTTACAATTAGTTCAGCCAGGCGTACCAGCAGTCTCCCAGGATTTGAGGGTAGAAAAACTAGTGTTTTCCTGAACCTTCCCTCTCCTTTTTCTCCTATGATAAATCTGTTAATAAGACTAGCAGTTTGTCCTTCCAAATGTCCTTGATTCATCCCTTCCCACCACCACCAACTTTGTCTATATTATCAGCACATCTTATGGGCATGATGCAAGTATTTTGAATTAGTTTTTTCCCCCTCCATTTCCTTCTGTGCCCAGTCTATCCTGAAGTGTGCTTTCCAAACACCTTAAGATGCTGCTTCCGGCATGCCCTCCCCTAAATGAGAAGCTGCAGTAACTATATCAAGTATGAACTCTTCCCCCAGCATGTTGGCCACCCATGGTCCTATTTCCCATTGCCTCTCACTGTACAGCTTCCTTTCCAGTCATGTCATCTGAATAAGGTTATCTGTTTCAGCCTTGGAGGTCTCAATACAGACTCTTCCTCACCAGTGAGTCCCTTCTGTACCCCCCTCTATCCCCAAAGGCACATGCAGATCCCTGATTCTTTCAAACCTCACTAATTTCCTCTTCCTTCACACTCCTATCATTGATGTCTTGTGTTTTTTATTTTGTATTTTTTATTTTTATTTTTTGCCTACCAAATACATTTCAATTTTCCAAAGGACAAGTGATTTCCATTTTATATCCCTTCATGTTGCTGAGCAAAGTCCTTGGCTTATAGAAAATGCATGGTAAATTCTTTCTGAATGTTTCCTTTCATTGACAGTTGTTGACTCCTAGTTTGTTTTCCAATAGAAAAGACTCCCCACATTTCCTTGAATAAATATCTATATCTATATACTGCCCAGCATTCACTTCCAAAAGTTAAAATCCTTACCTCCAAAAGTAAGAGACATGTTTAGATCCTTAAGTAGAAGGCTCTAGAAGGAAAATGAATAATTCTTTGATTATTGTCAGGATAGTAATTGCATTATGTTCACTTGTATTTTATAGAACTCACCCGAGCTGGATGAAGAAGGCTACAGCATCAGACCCGAGGAACCCGGCTATATCCTTTCTTTCTTTATTTTTTATTTTTTCTCATAAAGCAGTATTATAAATTCAGGTTTTAAAAAGGTGTTGAAATAACCCTAGCTTCCCAAGCCTTGTTGTCCATAATATTAGAGATGAATAAACAGCACAGAGAACAGGCTGATCACTAACAAGCAGGCATTTTGCCTCACTCTATTCATAGAAGAGAGAGAGGAGAAAGTGAAAAATGTGCTGAAAAACAATTGTGCACATTGTGGATACTAGGTTGTCTGCTAAAGCCTGATGTGAAAGTGTCATTTATCATGACTGGCAAATACCTGTTACTGTGCTCTCCCCACAGATCATCTCTGGGCAGAACAGGCCACACTCTGAAGCACTTAGAACTCATTACAAATCGTCCATTAAAATGATTTTCCTCTCTCCGTAGAAGGCTCAGCAGTGTGTGTGCTGAGAGTGACACACCAAATGGCTAACTACAGCAAAAATGTAGGACATTATAACTATTGCTCCTTGAAATTCACCATCCTTAATCTTGTTCCAGGGAAAGATGAATAAATTCTAACCTCTTCCTGATTTACTCTTTTTATTTTTTTATTTTTGTTAATCCTCACCTGAGAACATTTTCCCATTGATTTTCAGAAAGAGTGGGGAGGAGGGAGAGAGACAGAGAGAGAGAGAAACATCAATGTGAGAGAAACATCGATTGGTTGCCTCCTGCATGTGCCCTCAGTGATGCTTGGGAGCCTGCAACCGATCAAACTTGGGACCCTTTGGTTTTCAGGGAGATGCTCTATCCACTGAGCCAAACCGGATAGAGCCTGACTTATTCTTTTATTTGTTTGTTTTGCTTTGATTTTCTACCTTCTTAAGGATACTTTTGCCACCACTATGTGTAATCACTCTTGTCTTATACTTATCACTGCCTCCCAGTAAAGAGTTATGTATCTTTAACTGTGTCCTACCTACCAAAGGAAAGCACTTTTATTCTTCAAGTGAATCAGAAGAGGAAGAAGAATCACACAAGAAATTTAATATCAAGATTAAGCCACTGCAATCTAAAGACATTCTTAAGAACGCTGCAACTGTAGATGAACTGAAGGCATCGATAGGCAACATTGCACTTTCCCCATCACCAGTGGTGAGTGGTTTTTATGTCAAGCTTGGGTGAGGTTGGACAAAGAGCTGTGTTCTGCCCATGAGCATTAAGTAGAGCAGATCCATCTTACGCTGAAGACTGACTATGGTCCCCATTTTATGAACTCTAGAAACCTTAAACAGCTTATTCTGGCTTTTGAAAGTTATGCTCATTTTATATTGCATTTCTTGTGCTTTTCAAAATAGTAAAAATGCATAGGGCCATATTTCCTTTTTACTTACTTTCCTGCAAGCATTTTCAAAAGAAGAAAAAAAAATTATCCAGACTTACTTCTGCAGCAATTGAAAACAATATAAAGTTTACATACTTACTAATAATGATATTTATTTAAAAACATATCTTACCATCTATTTTTATGACATAGCACATAGGAACTCCTGGGAAGAAAACCAAGAAAATTAATTTTCTTTAAAAACATCTCATTGTTATGCTTCAAAAATATAGTAGTCTAATATTGTCTAAAATTATTTTAAACCTCATAATCTTTATTATATTTTATTATCAAATTGTCTTAAGTACTCTTACCTTTTAGACACCTCAAATACAGGTATGTCTTATTTGTATTATTCAAATTGGTATTTTTTCCCCACAATTTATACTTCCTCCAATTCCCATCTATTAAATTTCTTAAGTTCCAACATTTACAGTATTTTCTCTGTGGTGTTTGATAAATGATACAATTGTTTTCTAAAAATAGCTGTGAAGAGCAGCTGAAGGCTCTCAAACTAGCAGCTGATATGTTCTTGGCATCTTCTTCAGAGAGATGTGATCTCCCTACAGCATTCCCCCTAAACAAGAAGTTAATAAATGTTGAACCACTTTTGACATGCTTCTGGAAATATCTCAACTAACCTTTCCAAAGGAGTTGTCATCATCTCTCCTTTGATAGATGCCTGCCTGGGATGAATAGTCTCTAATGACACCTTCTTCAGTGCTTAGTGCTTATAATGGCCTTTCTCACTACTGTTAGTGACAGCTAAAATGATTGCTAATAGTAATCAACCACAGCAAGTGATGTTTCAGGTCATTTTTAATCATATACTTATATGTTAACTTAAAAAAAGGAGGCATGAAGTATATTAGCTTTTTCTCTCTTCTGCATGGAAGATACAGATTTTAACTTACATATTGGTCTGTAATACTAGTAATTTCTAGTAATGGGAGCATTTTAAATGCACACATTTTCACTTTTCAGTTGACATCTTTCAAATCATTTCTCACTGAACCTTTTTTTATTAATTATAAAAATGTATTTAACTGCCTGAAACCAGTTTATATCCTCTTCTCTGTAGGTTGTAATAAACTTACTGGGCATTTGGAAGCTTCCTGAGATAAGTGCAAAAGATAAGTTTACAGGATTAAATGAACAAATTTACATGAAAGAAAACTTACTAGAATAGCCAGACACATGGTAGATATTTGCTGAAAGCTAGTGGAATCTCGGAAAGAAGAAATGCCCTTTATCAGGAATATGTATCTCCCAGTCATCTGCTGGTTATTCCTCCAACCAGAAATGCTGCTGAGGATTCAGCAGGAAGAGGGGCTGCTTCCTCTGAGCCCTCCCAACACCTATTTTAAAGGTGATATATTGTCAGGATGTGGTTGGGACTCTGATGAAAAGATGTTAGGGAAAGCAGTGTAAACTTAAAATGGAGACACTGAGAAAAAGTAATCACAGGGGAAGACTGTTTCTGCATAGCAGCAACACCACAAATCAAAAGACCCTTGGGTCCCCCTACCACCACCATCCCTGCACCCCCAGCTTGTTCCCTCTAATGTGAGAACCTGGCTCTGCCACTATGATTTGCAAATATCTGTGACTTTTTATATTTAGTATAGGAGAATGAGCTGTTATTGCTACTTTAGGAAAAGATAAGCATGTTTCTGGATATACATAAGTATAAAGGGACATTGTAACTGAAACATTTTTTTGGCTTTAGAATCCTAACACACATCTAGATAATCCATATGTACCTATATTTCACATATCCAGTACATTATCTCCAAAAACAGATAGGTAACCTTCTGTAATTCACTTAGTACCATGATAAAAATGGCAAATAATTTGTACAACTTGAGATGTTTCCACCAAAGCAACCAGACCATTTATATATCTATACTTAATTCTGGTGTAAAAAGAGAAATAGAACCTATACCAGTTAATGATACATCAGAATATTTCTTTTAGTCTATGGTTCTTACGCTACAAAAGCATCCATCATTACACTATTAGAAATAGAAGAAATTCCTAATGGTAAGCTATTCATAACAATGACTTATGTTGGATTTCTGGTTTCTATTTCTTTTGAGGAATTTTAAGATTAAACTCATAGATAAAGGATGTTAATTTCTATTCTTATGTTGCAATTTCCTGGAAAATAGCATGCTGCTAGGGCAAAGACTGAACATCACCCAGGTTTTAGTTGTTGATTTGGCTTCTGTATAAGTTAGAATATTGGTAGAGCTGTTTTAACAGAGACCAAAATGGTAATGACTTAAACAAAATATATGATTTATTTCTCTCCCACATAAAAGTCAAAGTTGGTAGATAGTCCAGATAGGTAATAAAGTCCTATTCCAGGGATCATTCAAGGACTTCTTGTATTATTGCTTCACTTTTCTAGGGTGCTGCTGCCTTACCACCATCAATCACCTCCATGTTCCAACCTTGGGATGGAGGAAATAGAAAATAAAAGTCAAGTGGTTTCCTTTAAGCCTTTAACCCAGTGGTTCTCAACCTTTCTAATGCCGCGACCCTTTAATACAGTTCCGCATGTTGTGGTGACCCCTAATTTCATTGTTACAAATTGAACATAATTAAAGCATAGTGATTAATCACAAAAACAATATGTAATTATATATGTGTTTTCCGATGGTTTTAGGCAACCCCTGTGAAAGGGTCATTCGACCCCCAAAGGGGTCGCGACCCACAGGTTGAGAATTGCTGCTTTAACCAGAAGTTGCACCCATCACCACCACTCAGATCTCATTGTACATATTTTAGTCACATGGCCACATTAGCTGAAAGGGAGTCTGGGAAATGTAGTCTTTGGCTAGATAGCCATGTAACAAGCTAAAATTGACAAATTTTTACTAACATTTGGAGTGCGGGTGAATTTCCCGCCAAAATATAAGATGGCTCTGTCTTTTGGTTTTGTTCCATCCACCAAAAGGGTGGATTACAAACAAATATTTGGTAATACGCAGTTACAATCGGCCCGAGTTTACACGTTTCCCGCACTCCACCGCAAATCTATATGAACCGAGTTAAAGACGGCTCCCGCGGAGTACGCGCAATTCACGCGAGCCGACTTAACTCGTTTCCCGCACTCCAAGTGCTAAAAGACAAATGAGCTTTTAGATATTGCATACTGGTGTAGACAGTGACAGTTTCTGCCACTATGCCTTAAATAATTTCATATTGCTTTTGAAATTCAGGCGGGAAAGGGAATTACTTTCCTATTTACCTTCAGTTTATTCCCAGAATCTAGGAAATTTTCTTTTACAAATTTCTAATCACTAATATCTAAATACCAGTCCTGCTGTGCTATATGATAGCCAGTAGCAGGATGAACAAAAACAAATTTAATTAAAATACCAATGTTTTTGGTTGATAAAGACTCTTCCAAGAGTAATAGTGTTCCCTCTGTCTTACAGCATTTAGTGTTTTTTGAAGCAGGCTGTTTCACTTTTGAAAGAAAGTTATTAAATCCAAAATGCTGTCTCCATGTAACTTTTGTCTTTGGTTGTAGTTGTGCTCTTTAGAGGATGAACAAAGTACAAAGCACCTTATTTTATCAATGGGTTTTCCATGAAACAGACTGATTCCAACTCCAAGTTTAAGTTTAATGTGCAGGATGTTTATTAAGGAGTGACCTTGTTTACAACACCGGTGGGCATAGGGAGACGTTAAGCTAAGCTAAGCTAAGCTAAGCTAAACTGAGCTGAGCACATGAGGAGCTCCAGAGGTGGAATGACCCTTCAGGTCAGACCTGAGTTTGGCTGAGATTAATAACCCTCATACTATTACATCAATCAGTACTTTGATATGGGCAGGCTAAGAAGAGGCGTGACCTTGGGCCAGGTCTCTCTCTGCAGCTGAGGCAGAGCCTGAAGTGTGAACAGTTGAAAGCTGTCATACAGTAGCACTCTCAACAGCTAGTATGCAAAGCCCTTCTGAAGAAAAATCTACATGGCACAATTTGGTGTTCCCCCACAAACCCCCTATATCTGGCATAGAGCCTTTATATTTCATCATCATTCATAAATGCTTTGTGTGTGTGTGTGTGTGTGTGTGTGTGTGAATGAACAAATATATGAATGGGACCAGGCCAAGCACAGAGCACTGACATGTCACTACCATCTAGTTTTTTGGCTATCTATTGATAACACAATCCAGCCTCCCTCATTCACCATATGATGTTTCACCCAACTGTGCCCTCATCCTGGCCACATATTCCCATTTTGTTTAGACCAGTGATGAACAAAACTGAGATACATGAAATTTCTACAGCTTTGCCAGACCAGAAGAGAGTGGTGGGTTTAGCTTGCCATTCCGTTTGACTACTTCTTTGCACTGGCACCTAAGATTACCACCTTCTTTTCAAAGTGTGTTATGGCCATCTGCTAAAATAATTTGTTCTAGAATTTGGGGTTAATAGAAAGCAGCTGTGTAGTAAAGAAAGAGCATAACATATGGATTCAGACCCAGGTCTGCCATGTTCTATCTGTGTAACCTTAGATAAGCCCCACAATTGCTCTGAGCCTCTATTCCTCTTCCTTGAAGTGAGAACAATAACAGTCCTTAGGGAATTTTTGTGCAGATTACTTTCAGTCTCTGGCAGGGTCAAATCTTACTTGACATTTTGTCCCCAAGCTTAGTTTAGCACACTGCATGGCATACACTAGGCATTCAGATAGTTACTCAGTAAATGACTGAATGAACAGAGCATACAGAATATCCTAGTAACAGTACTTGATGC